TACTGACTGACTTGCCAGCTTTACGGCAGATGGTGAAGGTGATCAGTTCATGATCACAGCTTCCCTTCAATTGTTAGGTTGCCAGTTAGGTCATCCCCGGTTGCCAGTACGAGGTCGAGCAGCGCTTTACCTCTTGTTGGCCCTGCATCAGATAGAGGTCATCCACACAAGAGAAAGCTTTGCAACTGCTCGGATTTGGCCAAGCGCTCCTCCCATGAGATGTTTGGGTAGTTAAAGTCTCCCATGACAACCATACACTGGGATTGTGCGGCCTCAGCCAATTCCCTGGTGAACTCCTGGTCAAGGTCTTGACTCTGGGTAGTGGGTTTGTAATAGACCCCCACCATAGTATAAAGAAAATTTCTCTCTCTCTCTCTCTCTTTCTCTCACTTTTAAATCTCCCCTTTTTTTTTCTCCATGAGAAAGATACGGGGAAACAAAGCATAGGAAAAATCATTTTTGTATTTTTTCCCTTTCCAGGTTAAAAGGGGAAAGGAGTAAGTATGGAAGAGGAAAAGAAGAGGGAAAAAGGGAATGGCAAACCATTTGTTAAAAATAAATGGCAATACATTTATTTTGATTTTTTTAAATCTTTTTTTAATGAAAACAGATTAGTTAATTTTTTCATGGGAAAATAAATCTAGTTTTCTAACTCATCAAAAAAAATCACATCTTTTTGAAAGTGCTAAATGGAAATTAGATATAAAAAATTATGGCAATTATCTTTGAAAATTCTAGCCTTAAATTTAAATGTCTGTATTTCTAAATATATATTTTCTATACTAGGAATTACCACTGAAATAACAACATTGGTTAGGTGTAGGAAGTTTTTACCATGTTTCTGTATGAAACCAGAAGCCCTGGTTATATGCATTTATAAGTACAAAAATGTCCTTTTGGTAGTATATCACATTTAATTTGGGGTTCTGTTACAAGCTGCATCAACAGAAGGACTTTCTGGTAAAAGCTGTCTGTGCTAGCAGAGTTTTGCTGATACGGCCTTTAAAAATCTGTCATCAAGGCTAAATACAAGCGTTCAAGAAGCCCAAGGCAGAAGAGCTTTAACTTTCAAGATTTACTCTAAACACTCAAGGTTAGGTTGGGACCAAACGTAACAGATTTTAGTCCTTCAGTGGGGCAGAACTCAGAACCCACCTGCGCAGGCCAAGCCCAGCTTGGTGCTTCCCAGTGTGTCCCACAGGCTCCCTGGGCTGCCAAAGACTGCTGAATGGAGCTGAACAAAACATGAAACCTTGGGGAGGCAGGAGGAATGCTGTGCATGAAATTGTCACCCCTTGGTTTAATTAAAGGTTGCAGCTCTAATACTTAACATAAAAGTATATAATAAATAAAAGTGAATAATAAAGAAAAAACTGTGGAACACTGCCTGCTCCAGAATTTGAACCAGAGCCCAGGGGGCTGCCAATTTTTGCAGGAGCTGTGCTGCTCTCCTGCAGTGGGACCTGGGTGTGGAGTGGCTTGGCCTGGCCTGGCAGGGTGGTGGGCCACATTTCCACCTCTCCCTCCCTGCCAGCTTCTGAGCACTCCCATGCCCTTCTGGGACTGTCCTGGAACCTCTTGGGGGCCTGGCACCTACACTGGTGACCGCCAGCAGCTAGGAGGAGCAATTTAAACCTGGAAGGTGGGTGATGTCCCTGCCAGCCCTAGCATCAGGTCTTGGGAAGCCTGGTGCCCCTCTTCCCACCCTGCTACTCCCTAGACCAGGCCCCACCAACCACCTTCCTGGCTCCTTGGACAGTCAGTAGGTCCTATGTGCCACATCTCCTGAACCATCCTCCACCCCAGCATTTCCCAATAAATGTGTGGTGTTGAGTGTTCCCCCTCAGCCACCATCCAGAGCTAGCTCCCATGGGATCCCCAGTCATGTCACCCCAGGGAAGAGTCCCTGGAGCAGGGCTCACCGTACTGTATGGGGCTGGGCATCAGCCTTTCGCAACAGTCCAGCCCAGCCCAGCCCAGCCCAGCCCAGCCCAAGAAGATTACAGTCTCTTCATGGGAGCCAGCACTGATGCCACTCAGGGGAGTAGTAGCTGGATCCCAAGTGGTCTTTGATCCTATGCATAAACCCCTTATCATGACACTGTAACTCTCAGTTCCACAGTGACATGGGTGCCGTCTATCAGACAGCAGATGGCCATCTGAAGACCTTGTTCTTGGACCTTTGTAGTGTACTCCTGGGCCTGGATGGCTCATTCAAGTGCCATAGCAGCACAGGTGCAAGCAGCTGCCACTTTGTCCATTCCCACCCTCCATATCAAGGGTCCCGTTTGGCCCTTATTTTGCCAGGACCATCTACACATGTCTCGTGTGCTCTGCAGGTGTCCAGCTGACCATCCTGGATCCAACATCTTGACTTCCATGCCCAGTCCTCCCATGCACAAATACAGAGTCTGCAGACAAGAGAGACACTGAGGAACCTATGGTGAGTCCCCAGTCTTGACCCTTTCCTCCACCTGGGATGGGAAACTCTGCACTTGCTCACACCCCAGCACTGACCACCCCATGGAATGCCTGCTTTCTACCTCCCAGCTGGGAAAACCTGGATGCCTGAGTGTCATCGCCCTGCTGTGGGAGCTTGGATGCCTGGGAACCCAAACATCTGGACCTGGAGGGATGAGCCTTCTCCAGTTCTTTGGGGAGAGAGGGGGAAGAAGTTAGGGAGGTTTTGCTAGGGTGAATTTTTCTGATTCCCACTGTGCCTTTACCTGAAGAGGAGTGGCACCTTGGCAATGGCAGCCAGAGGTACATCAGTGAAAACCCACAGTTACAACTGTTGGCTACACCTCAGCTGTGGGGCTCAAAAAAAAGCTTTTATACCTTTTAGTGTCTCTTTTGGTGCCAGTTTTTATTAAGTGGCTCCACATCAACACACTGGCCACTCTCAGGTAAGCTACATGATCCTAAGGGATAGGGCGGCCAGTGTCCATTAGCAAGAAGTATGGTCCCATTCAAACAGACTAAAACCCCCCCAACAACAGTAAGGAGCAATGACCCTGGCACCTGACCATTGTTCCAAACTAGTGGCATGCAGTGTTCCCTCTAAGCTGCACAGTGTGCACAGGTGCACCTGGCAGCACGGCATAAGCGCACCTGCGTGGCATAAGCAGCCCTACGCAGCCACGCATGCCGCACAGTTTAGAGGGAACACTGCTGGCATAGGGTTGGGTGGAGGTGTTAGAGGCATGAGATCAGTGGGGAGCATCAATAATTTAGATAAGGGGTGGGGTGAATGGAAATTAAATGATTGGTCAGACTAATCCAGTCTCAAATCTATTCCTATAGCGTTTGATACTAACACTAAACCGGTCCCCCATTGGGTACAAGCTTAATAGAGAAGCATGGGTCAAGCTGAACAGACTGAGATGTGGATACAGACGCTTCAAAACAACACCGTACAAGATGAACAGCTTGGCCAAACCTCTGTGTGAATATGGTATCCAACAAACAGCACAACACTTAATGAAAAGCTGCAATCCTTACAAATGCCCAGATGGGATAGATGAAATCTACACACTGAGCGATAATACCAGGCAGCAGCTTAATAGCTAGCTGGAGAGAACAAGGTTGGGGGAGAAAAAGGGTTGGAAATGGAGGCTTCACCACCTTGGGTCACTGAGACCCCAAGGGAGGGGCTGGCCCAGTGCTTGGGCAGAGAAGACAAGCTCTAGTCTAGGCTAGACCACCACCCCATGAAGGGGGGGTGAGCAGGGTGCTGCAATGCTCCATGGGACATCAGTGGAATGGAACTTACCATGAGTTGTGATGGGATCTGGTACAGATGTTTATTACTGTGCTGTAATGGACAGCGCAGAAGTCTGGTACCACATCCATCGAGAGTCATCTCAGAGCAGGTTCCACCATTCTTCTCAGTGCTGTATGTGCTCTGACCATCTGTTTGGTTACAGCTATAAAGCACTTTCTATATGCTTACTGTGCAATACGTGTAACTTCTGTACATGGCCTAAATGACTTCCCAAGGTCAGGCTATGAGTCAGTGGCAGAACTAAGACTTTACCCGTGGTTTGCTAGCCTCCTGCTTGAACCATTTGTACTGATAAATACTTCAGCTGTTCATGTCACCTGGTCATAAAACCATTCCACATAGTTCTGTCAAAGAAGCACTTAAATATTTCAGGATCTTTGTAGTTACCTGATGTTACTGTGTGTCTGGCAGCCAGCCTGGTCATTGAAGTAGTTCACAGGGAGGGTTATATGAAAGGTGCACTGAATTTCACCATAAGGAGGTCAGCTCCTCAGCTGGTCTACATTAATTTAAAAGAGGAACTAACTCCTAGGTTTTACTGTTGTTTGGGTCTTTTCTGATGGCAATGGATTTCTCCTAACTAAAATACATGTTTAGTTATTCAGTTAATCTGACGTTAAGCCACGGGTTCAAATAACTCATACTTGTCAAAAAAAATCTACAAGATCTACCTATCACTGTTAAGGTGCAATAAAATCACAGCAATCAAGATTTTTATAACATCCAAAATACACATGTGGCAGGATGTGATGGTATTGTTGCTTTTCAAATCCTGGGACTTAGGAGGAACGTGAGTAGCGTGCATTGAAAATTAAATACTTCTATTTATATTTGGTTTTTGTGCTCCAAGGCTCATTACCATTGTGTATGTGGACTGCTAGGGCAGGCCTCTGTGATTTTAAGTGACTCAAGAGCTTTCTTCAGAATCCTCAAGTAATTCACTCTGTTTTCCCTTGGCATGAACTCCTCTGGGCAACAACAGCTTTAAGCCCCTGCTGCTAAGCACTAATACAAAGTGCATAAGCTCAAGATTGTCTGTTTCAAATCTTTTAAATGTGCGAGCCTGACAACGATCTTAATGGAGTAGGGATTTTGCATTTGCCAAATTGTCCTGTCTGGAAATGCAGATAATACAACAGCATAGCTTGAGCACAAGGCAGGGGCATAACTGATTTCAGAAGAGATTGTAAAAAATGAGGGCGTTTGGCTTATCATTCTCCACAAGCTGTTGTGCTTAGCTGCTGCCTTTCAGGTCCCTGGGTCTGTGAAAACACAATGCTCTGCTGAGATGACAGCACATCATCACGATGTTTGCGTTCAGCTGCATAGTATCACATCTGCTGCAATGATACACCTACTGAATTGAGCTCACCAGCCCAGCCCTTGAGCTGCAGCCAAACACTGCTCTAAAGCACTTTTGTACACAGCTCCCTTGAACTGTGCTGAGCACATCTTGGCAGAAACTCAGGCTCTGGGCCTGCAAGTTCAATGAAGTAGATGTCACATTGCTGGCTGCCAACAGTCCCCCTGAGAGCCATTCCACTAGGGTTAAAGGGTTACCAAGATATCCTGACATTCTGGCTATATCTTCAACAATATTTTGATGCCAGGGCCCATGATAGGAAGTAACCCAAAACCACTGGATAGAGGGAGTGGGGAAAAGGGGTTAACTGGAGAGGGGTAGGCTACAGAGGGCCATTTAAACTAGCCTTACAGAAAATTTGCAATACCAGAGTGGCCCAAAGCAGCCAGGGCAGGGCTGACGGCTGATATCACCCACAGTATTAAGTTGCATGTGCTTGATCCAAACACATACTGTTTGTGATGATGGTTACACCTGAACCTTTTCCCAGCTCTGCTTAGAACCTCTCCCTTACATATCCCTCCCTGTATGTTATGGGTGCTATAAAGTTAATACAATAGGTCTTATAAATGCTGTGCAAAAAAGTGCACTCTTGGATGAAGCCACCCAGTTAATCATATCAGCCAATGATTCTCAGAAGGGATTTGGAAATCTCAGTTTTTGTGTACCCAGCCCAAGGCACTGCAGAAAGGCCTAATCATCAGGAAGCATGGACCAGATCCAGGAAAAGGATTCAGGTGGAATTCTGGGGCCAAAACTTGCTCACTCGCTGCTTCACACTGGAGGTGCGCAAGCTCCATGGGTGCTTCATTTTTCTAAACAAAAGAAGTCTACACATCTAATTTCTGCTTCTGAGTATGCTCAGAAGCACCATAGTCTGGACAAGGCTGACAGCTCAGCACCCTTCTCACTCTGAGGCCTGATTGGGAACCAGAAACTTGGCATTCCCTGTCTTATAGCTCGACATGGTAGACAGTCTCAACAGGTACCTAATGGATCTGGCCCTTCACACATGCAGATGAGGCACTGTTTTCCTTTAGAGAACAACTAGAAGAGGAGCAGTTGGCCCCCTTCTTTTATACATAGTGATTGCAGCAGCACAACCATTCAAGCCTACCTCTGCCTGAATGTCTAACCACTGAAATGGGGTGAGAGAATTTAAGGCATGCCCCTCTCCTCGGCATTTCCCTCTAGGCCAGCTCTTAAGGCTCACGCCCAGTCAGAGATGCCTAATCCTCCCCATACATTGAATAACAAGCCTCAGAGCCTAAACTAGTGTTCTGGACTTCACTAGGTATCTAACATTAGAGCAGAAGGTAGTGTTCCTGGTGGACTTCCTGGTGAAGTCCAGAACACTGCCTTCTGCTCTAATGTTAGATACCATCATGCTGAGCCCTTCTATGAATCAAGAGTCTTGTGTGCTCTTCACTTTCTGAAAATTACCCACCCTCCTACAGGGTCTCAATTTGGCTGCTCAAAACCTGAGCCCCTGATGGCCTTTGAAAATCTTTGTGGTTGTACTAAAAATATTTATCTAGACATGGGACTTGGAGGAAATTCTGCCGTTATGATTGAAATGTATTTAAATGTTATCTAATTTAAACCCAGGAGCTGGTTTATTATTCATGGTTCTTGTCAGTTAAAATACATTATGAAACACCTTCCTTTAGTCATCTCATGGAATCTCTGCCTGTGTAGTTCAAGGAGATTTAAAGCAGCCAGAGGTGATATATGTTACCTAGGTGGAAAACGGTCAGGAAATGCTTGAAGTAGACTTCACATGCCTAAACGCTAGCTAACAAGAAAATGTAAAATAAAGCACTTTCCCACACACACACACACACACACACACACACACACACACACTATTTGGCACTCTTCTGGTCATTGTTTGTCCATTTTATCATTCCCCCTTTCATTCCCTCAGGGCATCAATTACTCCCAATTTATAAAGGGATCTATATACACAACAGAGCCAAAGATGTGTGGGACAATTTTGATGGCTTTTGGCTCCCTTAGTCTGAGGGTTGGTTCTACACCAGTCTAGTGGTTGATATTGTTTGCGTCTACCCTAAAGTATGCTCTCTGGAAAAGTTTTGAAAAGGAAAAAAATTCCTAGCATAGACAAAGCCAAATTGTTGCTGCTAAGCAAGCCACCCACATAGTCTCTTGCTCCAACAGAACATTTTCAGTGATGTCTTCACTTAGGTGGCCAAGTCATTGTTTATTGGGGATTTCTAACTGGATTTCCCTTGAGAACACAGCAGTACACTATATTGTACATAGCAACCTTTCGCACTAAAACTTAATTCTCTGCAAGTAACGATAGTGGATTCCATTTCCTCAGTCTCTGACTGTACAGGCTGTGGCAGATCTCCAGCTGCATTGGCATAAGCCATATTAAAGGCCATGGATTCAGCACCAGCAAGAGGAACAACGGACACCTATACATATGATAGAGCTCTGCTCTGATACATGGTAATTAGCACGTGCTAGAGCAGACTGGATTAATTGCATCTGCTGTGAGTCTGCTGGAGCGTGCTAATTACTGCACTCCAGCAGCCTCCACATCACGTGTATTCAGCATCCCCATGTTTCAGAATGGTGACGAGGTGCTTTAACTAAAGCTTGTCAAAGGAGCTTTAGTTAAAGTGCTCCCACTGCCATTCTGAAGTATGGGATGCTGAATACAGGTGACACTGTAGGCGTTTTAACTACAGCAGCTCTCAGGGCATCTATAGATGTTTTCCAGAGGACGGGCGAGGGGTGCTTTAATTAGAGCCACTCTAACTAAAAGTGCCTGCAGTGTCATGTGCATTCAGCAACCATTTTGAAAAATGGGGACGCTGAATACACGTGACGTGGAGGCTGCTGGAGTGCAGCAATTAGCACGCTCCAGCAGACTCACAGTGGATTCAATTAATCGAGTATGTTCCAGCATGTGCTAATTAGCATGTGTTGGAGCAGAGCTTGATCATGTGTATAGCTGCCCTCAGAGCTGCTCTAATGAAAATGCCCCTCCTCCACCCCGGAGCACATGTATAGATACCCAATATCCATACACATAACCAGCATAGTAGCTACAGTGGGTTCTGGTTTGGCTACTAATACTTTTCCTGGGAATAAAAGCAAACTTGAGTTGTTTCTACCTGAATGATCTGAGCTACATTCCTATGGCAATTTTGTGAATCCTCTCTTAAGTATTTCCTTAGATATAGGATTCATAAAGCCACAAGCACCTGGTTTTTCACTACCTTGTGACATTCAGAGTCATTCAGTGCATAGTACAAGTGTCCCACCACCCAGTCAGCATTCTTCCTGCACTTTACACAGAAGCTAAAATATTGTATAAGTAGAAATGGACACACAAAGTGAAAGGTAGAAGACAATGAGACAAATGGTTTCTCTCATATTTCTAGTTCTCCAACCATTCAGAGGTATTCAGGATAGGTGAGACCTGAATTTTGAATGTAAAAAATGAGTGTAGATGAAGACTTTCAAAGTCTGGCCAGACACACTGTAAAGCAGAGAAGAGGGCAGAGACTAGGGTCAGACAAAATTTTTCCTCAAAACCATTTTAAAAAGAAAGTGGGATTTCCATCTAAATGATTTTTCTCTTCTTTCCTCTGAAAATTTCTATTTTTGTGTTGAAAAACCAAATACCAAAACACTGACATATTCCGATTTTGGAAACGCTGCCCCATGGGTGTTGTCAGTAACATGCATTGTATCTCCATTTCCTCCACTGACCAGGCTCCCCAGTCAGCTCCCATAATGCACTATGTTCAGTGACTCCCATGATACACTCCCCCAACTCACTTTCCCAAGTTCAACCAGACCATCCTGGGAGATGGAGTCTGACAAAGAAGCTTGCCCCACAAAGGCTAAAATGTAGCCCCTTTGAGGCACCATGGCAGGATTTACAAATAGAAATATTTCAGGTTTCAGGTGAAACTTCCTGGTATTCAGATTTCATCTGAGAAATCAACAATTTCTGTTTTGACTAATTTTCCATCAGCTCTAGTACAGCCCCTTTATTCCCCTCTTGGGGGTCATTAAAGTATGTTTTCCTAGACCCCTGGAACTATTAGACCTTCCTGAAAGTATGTCTTATAAAGGGTTGTAGGAATAAGAGGATTCAGAAATGCCATATTTGCCCATCTTAGTGGGCTAATGGCTGTGAAGTGCTTAAAGCAGAAAAGTGGGTTCTATTCTCAGCTCTATAGCAAGCCACTTTCTGGCCATTATAAAGCTACAGAAATTTCTCAGAGGGGTAATGTGAGGCTTGGTTAGTTTTATAAGCTACTTTGTGGTTGCTACTGTCTAGATGCCCCAGAAATTGAACATAAAAACATATCATCCTTGAATGAAAGGTGATACAAAATCATAAAATATGACTGCTACAGAAGTCAGAGACAATAATAAAAACCATCTTATTTCCATCCCATCCTACCACACATTTATTACCTTTCTGAGTATATTTGGGTCAGATTCTATCACCTTGATTCATGGAAAATAGTAACGAATAACAAAATACCTGGTGGCACTACTCATTGAGTAAAGAAATACCCATTGTAAAGCCAGAATGATCTAGCCATGTAATAAAGCTTAGAGGATGCAGGACACTTAGTCATAATGAAAGAACACCTCATTTTCCCAGAGAAAAAAAAAATATTTTAGGGTGAATTAGAGCCCTAATCCCAAATGAATATAATCAGAATTCAGCAGTGTGTGGCACCAAGAGAGCTTGCTGAGTTGGATCCAAGAACAAATGAGAACTGAAAATTTAATTACTAATGCTGACTCCAAAGAATTATTCAGAAAGTTCTGGCACATTAAAGATGATAAACAGAACTGGCACTTCCATATAGCTGGGGAAATACTGAATTATCATTTCTGAATTTGCTAAGTTTACTGGCCTTGCAGTCTGATGTACTGCATACATCTTTGCAACAAACCATTGCATAATTCCAAAGGCCCCTACCCCACAAGTGCCTAGCATTCTTGCTAACATCATTGTCCTTTTTGTTATGATAAGCTTGGAGGTCTGCTACAAATAATTTCCAATGA